CTTCTTTGGTGAAGTGTCTGTTCATATCCTGTGCCCATTTTTCAATTGGATTATTTACCTTTATCTTGTTGTGGTGCTCAAGTATTTTATAAATTCTGGATAGAAGTCCCTTATCTGACATGTCATTACCAAATACTTTTTCTCAGTCTGTGGCTTCCATTTTTACCCTGTTGGAAAAGTTTTTGGATGTGCATAGGGATTTGATTCTTAGAAGATACCAGTCATCTATTTTATCTTCTCCTGGTTGTAGATTTTGGGATTAGCTTTCTTTAAGCCTAATGGGAGACAAAGCTAGCCAATCCCCTCACTAAGAGTTTTATTATATCACAATTAGATGAGCAAAAAATCAGACTAATATCACTGATGGCTCACAGGCACGTTATTTCCAAAGTCCCACCCTACATTTTATGAGTTAAAACACTATGCATACCTAGAAAGGCTGTATTAAGTAATTGATAGCCCTGCATTGTTCACAGAGTTATGGAGCCATTGTCATTTCAGACCATTTTCCTTATCCTCAAGAGGGACTTTAGACCCATTATCACCCCACCCATCCTCTGTCCTACTTTGCATACCATAACATTGCCCTCCCAAAAAGAGACAAACAAAAAACCCCATTGCTATCCAGTGTCTATTCCTACGCAGAGTTCCTGGCAACAAGTAATCTCCCCTCTGTCTCTATGGATTTGCCTGTCCTGGGTATTACATATAAATGGAGCCTTATAACATGTTTTGTTTTGTTTTTATTTTACATATTTATACTACTCAACCACAATGTAGCATGTGTCATTACTACATTTACTTTTTATTGCCTAATAATGTTCTATTCTATGCATTAATCATGTGAATTTTTTTTATATCCAGCAGCTGATGGTCATTTGACTGTTTCCATATTCTCATCCTGCAATAAAGAGAAGTGTGGGAAGGCAGCATTACAGACATTGAGGGTGGGGCTGGCATTGCAAATCTCAGGGTTGGAGCTACACATGGCAAGAGTTGATATAGTGCCCTGGGTGGGGCTGCTGCCACCCTGTTATATAGAAAAGACCATGAATCTTTCATCTTTAGGAAAATGTAAAGGGTGTAACTACATGTCCTGCTGCCCTGTGGAGTCAGCTTCTGTTCCCTTCATCCTTGATGTTAGTCCAGCTCTGTGTATTGAATGTCTTGTGAAGATCACTGCCTGACTACAGCCCGTCTTCCAAATCAGGGCCTGTTTCCCTTGTCCACTCTCAATCACCAAGAGGGATTTTGCAGGCTCAGGCCTCACTCTGAGATATAGTAGACAGTTATTCTCAGCACTTCCCAGCCTTCTCTGTCAGCGCACAGAGTACTTTACTTGAAAGAAAGGACATCTCTAGCCTAGCACTTGTGCCCCATGCACATTTCCACTCCTGTGTAGGGTTATTCTCTATCTAAATATAACAGATTCCATCACATTTCTCTAGGTCTCTAGCCTTCTTCCCATCTATGCATTCTTGACACAAAAATAATTTCTACAAATAAAGAAAAAGTTACAGAACCACCACCTACAACAGGTAAGTCTATAAATTCCCACTTGTCCCCAGGAAGACATCCCTCTGGTGACCTGCATAATAACTTCTTTCTCTTCCCTGCACTCACTAGGTCAGCCTTCTCATCTGTATATGTTGCTGTCTTCCCTGTAAGATTCCCCCCAAACAGCAGTTAGTCCCTCTGCAGATGGCCCCTGGAAACTTGGTCAACATGAGAACTCCAAGGACAGCAGAGTACAGGCAGTAAAGGGCTATTAGCTAGCTGGCTGCTACTCATGACCTTTAAGTGTGTGTACTTATTATGTAGGAAAACAACCTCAAACCAGAATTTTCATTATTCTCATAAACCTTGCTCTTAATCTCACTCTGTTCCTGTTTAAATGCATTTTATCTCCCTGTCTCTTCAAAAAAAGACTTTTCACTGCATTTGTTAGTAATGATAACATTTTTATTTTGGAATTGTTTCAGAATGTGAGACCAAGGAAGAGAAACAAAATAGGGATTTGAGTCAGAAGCCTTTCATTTCAGAGGAAATAACAGTGATTCTGGGGGAAAACCTTTTGGGGCATATTGATCAGGAAAACAGTAAAATTGAGAGAAGCTCCTATCTGTGTTCAAACCCCATTAGCAATCAGGAAGTTAAAATCTTGAGCCAGAGCATACCCTTTACTCAGCATCCAGTGGTTCCCACTGGAGAGAAACCCTACAAATGCATCCAGTGTGGAAAGTCCTTTAGTCGGAGCTCCCATCTCCTGCAACATCAGAGAATCCACACTGGGGAGAAACCTTATGTGTGCAGTGTATGTGGGAAAGCCTTCAGTCAAAGCTCAGTGCTCAGTAAACACAGGAGGATTCACACAGGAGAGAAGCCCTATGAGTGTAACGAGTGTGGGAAAGCCTTCAGGGTAAGCTCAGATCTTGCCCAACATCATAAAATACACACAGGAGAGAAGCCTCATGAGTGTGTGGAATGCAGAAAGGCTTTCACTCAGCTCTCACATCTCATCCAGCACCAGCGTATCCACACAGGAGAAAGGCCGTATGTGTGTCCACTGTGTGGCAAAGCCTTTAACCACAGCACTGTGCTGCGGAGTCATCAGAGAGTGCACACTGGGGAGAAGCCTCATGAGTGCACTGAGTGTGGGAAGACCTTCAGTGTGAAGAGGACACTTATCCAGCATCAGAGGATCCACACTGGAGAGAAGCCGTACACATGCAGTGAGTGTGGGAAGGCCTTCAGTGACCGCTCAGTCCTCATTCAGCATCACAATGTGCACACAGGGGAGAAGCCCTACGAATGCAGTGAGTGTGGGAAGACCTTCAGCCACCGATCCACTCTGATGAACCATGAGCGGATCCACACTGATGAGAAACCTTACGAATGCTATGAGTGTGGGAAGGCCTTTGTTCAGCACTCACACCTGATTCAGCACCAGAGGATCCACACTGGGGAGAAACCCTATGTCTGTGGTGAGTGTGGGCATGCATTCAGTGCACGTAGATCTCTAGTGCAACATGAAAGAATTCACACAGGTGAGAAGCCATTTCAGTGCATGGAATGTGGCAAAGCCTTCAGCCTGAAAGCGACTCTGATTGTGCACCTGAGGACTCACACAGGTGAGAAGCCCTATGAGTGCAATAGCTGTGGGAAGGCCTTCAGCCAGTACTCTGTACTTATCCAGCACCAGAGGATCCACACAGGTGAGAAGCCCTATGAATGTGGGGAGTGTGGTCGCGCCTTCAACCAGCATGGGCATCTGATCCAGCACCAAAAAGTCCATAAGAAACTGTAGCCCTCCACTGTCACAAGCTTGGAGAAGAGAAGAATGCACAATGATAGAAGCCTTCAGCTCAAGAAACACTTTTCTTAAATCTACATGAAGCCCATCTGTGATTATTTTAACTCCAAATTATCAGAAACAAACTCCAAAGAGAAGTTCTTGGCATATCTCTCTTATGGAAAAACTTCAGTGGATACCTCGAGTTTTGCAACAGCTTGCAGTTGATATTGAAGAATGCCCATAATGTTAAATTTTACTAAGGATTTATTATAGTATTAGAGGGTTCATTTCATGGTATTTCTGATTGCTAGTTATGGATCCAAGACCTGGACATTGATGACAGAAAAAGGATTGATGCCTTTGAGCTGTGATGTTGGTTGGAGAAGAGCACTGAACATACCATGGACAGCCAAGAAATGGAATAGGTATGTTTTGGAGAGGGTGCAGCCAGAGTGCTCTTTGGAGGCAAGAATGATGAGGCTTTGCCTCACATACTTTGGACATATTGCTAGAAAGTGCTATTCCTTGGAGAGGGACATGATGTTGGGAAGGGTAGGGGGGGATTAGTGAAGGAAAGGAAGACCCACAACCAGGTGCATTGACAAGGTGACTGCTGCAGTGGGCTCTTTTGTGTCAGGAAGTGTGAGGATAACGCAGGACAGGACTACTTTCAGATCTTTTGCTCATCAGGTTGCTATGAGTTGACTCGATGGCACCTAACAACAGCAGAGGGTTCATTTAAAGTGATTATGTAAGGTAAGCTATGATATGAAGACTATTGTCATAATAAAACTTTTCTCATGTTTCAAGTAATAGTTTATTTTTCTTTGTATAACATGCCTTTCCTAAATTTACCTTTCTAATTATTGTACTTAAGTGATTGGCCATTTTTAGTATTTTGTTAGCATAACACTATGCTATGTAAATAATATGTATACATAATAGTATAATAGATAATAATAATAGATCAGAAGAAGGAATGGCATCCACTTCTGAAATAATCTGCCTCCAGAAACTATGAACTTGGAGAAATGGTGAAAGTTATGCAAGTGTTCAGATCTTTCGTTCATAGGGTCACAATGAGTCATCTACAACTCTACGGCACTTAACAATAGTATCAGATATTATAATGTAAAATGGCTGGATCTCCTAAGCATGTGAAAGCACCTGTTTGTATTAAAACAAAAAGGCTATATATACAGTAAGGAGAAATGTAACTTTATAAAACCTTTTATCTGGTGCCTTAACCTTAATCATGGTGACGGGTGTCTTAAATTTTCAGTGAAAATTCAATGAAAAAATGTGTATTCTCCTCAAAAGTTACCTTTACAAACTACAAAACCTGTGCCTTAGCACAGTTGCTAAGCCCACTGGGTGCCACTTTAAACTTTACAGTGTGTTGTTTGTTTGGTTTTTTCCTAATTTAATGAAAGTTTACAGAGACTGGATTTATTCATTCATTGTTGTACACTTTCCTCCCTGCCCACTCATCCCCCTAGTTCACTTTTCTCTTTGAAAAGTTAAAAAAAAAAAATAATAAAATTCATACAATTTTTATACAATCCTCCCAAATCCACTCCACTATGCAGCTTTCATTCTGGACTCTTATCATGACAGTAATACCTAATCATATATTCCTCCTAAATAGTCTCTCCCTCATGTTTCAATGCAGTATACATTATTTATCTCTTTAGTTTACCCCAACTCCAATGTCAGACCCTCTTTACAACAGCGGCACTATGCATTATTTATCCTTTGGTGACTTGAGATATTGCACTCAGCATAATGTCCTCCAAGGTCACCCATTTTGTATATTTCATGAGTTCCTTGTTTTTTTTTAATGCAGCATAGTATTCCATTGTGTGAATATACCAGCGCTGCTCTATCCATTTGTTTCTTGATGGACACTTAGGTTATTTCTAAGTGTTATTTTGTGTTGGTGTTTTTTTGGTGTGTGTGTGTGTGTGTTTAAACCAACAGTACACTTGTAATTAAGGAACTGTACTATGCAGAATGCAAATCTGTCCTCAGAGCCAGCAGCTATCCTCTGCTCCCACTGGACTCAAAGCTACGGGTAGAACACATAGAGGTGGAGGGTAGAACCCCTCTCACTGGGGTCAGGGTGTGAAACGAGGACCAAGTTATTGGAGACAACTGTTGCAAACAAAAGGGCAGGAAATCTTCACACAGAAAAGGTCTGATAGATATGAGGTCTCTAAAAATAGTCCTGCTGAGAGCCCAGTGGCCCTTGGCATAACTGCTAATGTCAGGACAGGAGGTTTGCTCAAGTGGTTGAGAGGGAGAGAAGGTGCTACTGACTTGAAGGAACTGGAGGCAAAACACCATGGAGGGCTGTGGAACAGGTTAGGAGATGGGGCTGTTGAAGGAAGGGAGGCCGGCAGGTCGGGGAGCAGGGGTGGAGGGCTCTTTCTCAATTCTTGATGGTTTTACACAAGATCACAGGAAGTCGGTAGCAGGAAGAGCCCTATGGACACCTGGGAGTTAGGAAATGAGATGTTTTGGCTTCAATGAAGAGAGCACGAAAGTTCTACAACAGCTCATTTTGGCAAGAAAGAGATGGAGGAAGGTGAGTTCTGAGAAGCTGGACAAGACAGATGCTGTGGTGGAAGGCTGTATTGCCACTGCCTCCTGAAGACTGAGAGCTGGATGTGAGGCTACAATGAACAGAAAGGAAGAGTTCTAGGGTGGGGAGTGGCCCTGAGGTGGGCCTGCAGATGACCAGCACCATGGATCCTTCAGGATTAGTTACATTTCCACATCCTCTGCCTGTGTTGGGTTTAAGTTGTTTTTGTGTACTTTAGAACCACCTCATAGCTGACCCTCCAGTGGGTTTTCAAAGGCAATAAATCACAAAGAAGATTGTTCATCATTCTCCCACAGAGCAACTGGTAGATTCAAACAGCCTGCCTTTGGGTTGGCAGTGCAACTCCTTGCTGGTAAACCACCAGAGCCTCCCTAAAAAGTTACTAGAAGATGCATATTTTTGAAACAACTAAATTATCAACCTCAAATAGGTTTGTTTTTTTTTTAACTGGTTCTAAGGTTTACTAGAGGATGGGGGAGGGTGCTGCAATGCCCCTTAGAAGGGGCCCTGCAGCCAGGCCACCCAGGGCCTCCAAGTCTAGCGTGTGTGTTTTTTTTTTTTTGCAAACGAATAGAGAAACAAGGCCTAACTAAACCACCACTCCAGGCCAGCCTATCCCCTCCTGACCTGGGGGAGGGGGCGCCCAGCTGCCTAGGCTCCTCTGTGGGGTTGGGTCACTGCCTGTCCCTTTGTCTGGGAGTCCCCTTCCCCCTCAAGCCCACCATCCTTATGAAGTCGATTTCTTAAGACGCAGAGGGGAACCTAGCAGAGATCACCCCAGTAGGGGTGGACGACTGCCCCAGGGCCCCAGGTCTCGAAGAATCTTTCCAGGCCATTATGGCAGTAAATACTGTGTGACTTGAGAGGTAGGTGGGATGGTGTCTTGCCCGCCATGCACTGCAGACCAGGTCCAGCCCAGCTGTCCTTGCCTCACTCAGTGCAGAAGATGATATGGATGCTGGCTTCTTTGAGTACAGGCCTGTTCATCTCCCCTGTCTACAGCACAAATGAGGCGGTTTCAAACAACTTTTGCATCTGCCCTCTGTTGACTACATCTAGGTCTCCTCTGGCCTTGGCCTAACTGCAGTCACTGAACTGTATGCCACAGAAACAAAGTCCTCCTTTCCAGACTTCATCTTCTGGATGTAGCCATTGATCAGCTCCAGAGCCTCAATCTTCAGCCTCCAAAAAGAGGGCTGCTAGGACTTGGGTTTGACCAGCAGGTGTGAGCAGCAGACCTTGCTAAACTCACCCTGCCTATTCTTGCCACTGCTGCTGCTGTTTCCACTGAGTCACTTCCACTGGCTTGCATAAGTGATGTGGTTGAAGTAGTACACCTGGCCTGAGGTAGGCTTGTGCACTTCTCCCAGTCAGGCAGCAGCTTTTCCTCATCCACCATCTTTCCTCCTGCTGCTTCAAATAGGTCTCTTTTAAAAAAATAAAACATTTATTGAAAGATTTTGCTCTCATTTTTTAATGAAGTCCAAAAGAATTCAGCACCTATTGTCATATGCTACAATTAATCTAACATGCTCACAATTTAAATTTTGTCTTTGACCTGTTCAAGATAATTTGTGCTCTTGTAACGAGATATAGAAGAGTTCTAGAGGACACATCACTTACCCTTCAGAGACAGTACAACTAAAGAGACACTGGACACAGCATAAAAAAATTGTCAGCAGTTGACGTGTTCGGAATCACAGAAGCAAAGAAAGCTTCAGATAGAAGCTGTCAGATCATGGGTCAGACAATGGAAGATAAATTCTGAAGGGATTTGGTAGAAGTAAATGGGTAATAAGCGGGTCAAGGCACTGGGCTAAGGGCAGGGATACTCCATAATAAGGGATTTATCTTCCACTGCTCCACATATTGCTTGTCTGTCAGATAGTCCTCTAAATCTAAATATTCAGATTAAAACAGACTAGGAAGAAGGATTTGCCATCCACTTCTGATATAGCAGGCCTCTGAAAACCCTATGTACAACAGAACGCACGTAGACTAACAGAAAGGGCAACCTAGGTAAACTTCAAGTATGGAAATACAAAGGAACAGCTGTAAGCGGACACTAGTGATTGGAACATGGAATGTGAAAGCCATGAATGTAGAGAAAATTAGAAATTGTTAAGAAAGAAATGGAATGCATAAATATTGACATACTAGGCATTGGAGAGATGAGATGGACTGACATGAGTCAGATGATCATATGATGTATTACTCTGGAGATGAAAAGGTGAGGGAAAATGGGGTTGCTTTCATAGTTAAAAAAGTAATTTCTAGGAAGATGGAATATACTGAGTCATTGTATCAAAAGGAATTGGCAGATACAGAAGAATTTAATGAAATAACATTTGAGCAAGAGCCTATGGTGATGAAGAAGTTCAAGCTGCTTTGAAGGAAATAGCAAAAA